CAAGTTGTGGAGTTTTCTCACCTGATAAGATCCATTGCCAAATTTTAAGCTGACTAATGACATTACTCATCCAAACATACCTTAATCTACCCTGCTAGCACTCATTCTAGGTACAATAACCTTAACTCCTCCAATACAAGCTGCTCGACTGACACGCCACACCAGCACCACCTTGATCTACATACCATGAAATTCGTGCACCCAATAAGTGACACTTGGATGTAACCAATGATGGAAAAAGAATCAAACGAGGGAACCGTCATGCAAGCTTAACAAATACTACCACAAGGCGCAATTCTATAAATTCATAACACAAATTAGAATGAAAACACACGAAACAAGAACAAGGATCATCTCCCAACATAACTCTACGGCGGTGTGTGACCCAATCCAAACACTGGTCCACATGGAATACCTCAAGCCATGAGTCTCAAAATCAACAACCTTATGCATACCAACAACAAACACATGAAGAACATGGACATAAACCATGGAGAAATGTATAGCACCATATACTACCAACAAGAAAACCATAACCAAAGCGCAATCCATCATTTAACACCCCAAGAACTATCTCACTCGAATTTCGCCACAAATCCCACCAAAACCGCATCATGCGTGTAAATAGCCAACAGCCTCACAACCTATCGTGGCATAAAAGAGTAACACATGGAATATATCAGAACATGAATAAGCTCATCTCTAACCAAATGACACACCCTTAATAATAATTGTGCTGAGTAAACAAATCCGGTCATACCTAGCATACATGCTCTCATTAGGCCTGCCAATGGGCCCCCAAACCGATTCTAATCGTCTCGAAATAGATAAATAACCTTCCAAAAGATAGCAATTACCTATCCTTAACACATTCACTCTGCCGTCAACCTCTCAACATACGTTTATCGTCCACCACCAAGGAACAATTTGCATCTAAGAACCCTCCTAGTCCTCAAATCCCAAGAATACAATAATCTCCATGTCTGATCCCAATTCCACCACTCAAATGACGGACACATACCTCATACACAATAATTTTGCAAGGAATACTTCCATAAATATTTCATGCCACATTGCCAAGTTTTGAACATCAGCAGTAGATTAACCAAGCAATTACCATAATACCCGTGAAACAACTGCAAGTCAAAACTTAGTGTGCCTTTCTGAAATATATACTCATCTCAGGTGATATCAAAATATTGCCAGCATTCTTCTAAACATCTGGAACTATCCATTTCTATCTAGAACTCATGACCTTCTCTTCTAACTGAACCGTAACCTCGCACATGCAAATGTCGATCCCACACATCGCACCGCATCCATCATTCCATCATTCCATCATATGAAAGTACGAGAATCTCATTAACAACTCTAAAGCACAAGCAGGATACATACTCCATCAGTCAAAAATGTGCCACTAGACCCCATCTGCGTAAAAGTCACAACATGCAATATACACCTTATACTTATAGAAAATATCCATCTCAAGCCGAGGTCGACACCATCAAGAACTCTTCGAAACCCATATGCACATAACCAAGCCATCATAACTGAATCCTCTAACTCAACCAAGTTACACAGTGGAAAACCCAAGAACAATGCCACAACACACCTACAAAGCCTCGCCACACCAAAAGAACCGATCATTTTTATTACCATGCTTATCCAAACCACTACCAAACTGATCTATTTCTTCGAACCACTTTCGACTTGCCTCCAGTTAACATTTCTCCTTGGTAATACACTACGATCATTAGCCCAACACTCATTAAAAGAGATCGTAGCATGAAACCTCATTGTCTGAAAGCCCATAAGCTATTTTATTCCCTCTTAAGTACCCAAAAATATCGTATCTAAGGTACCTACTCTGAAGAGACCTTATGTGAATCTAACATTGTATCCTTAACCTCTCTGATACTAAAATGTAGAATCTATAATGATACAGAAATACTGCCAGTCCAACACCATCCAATGCAAATCTCAAATCTTAGCCATTCACAAATTTGAGAATCCTCAAATACCACATATGAATCTTAAACCCATTAGAACCTCCTCAAAAGTCATGCACCCTATTCTAATCTCAAATGAACTGCCAAAACTAGTCGAACGAGTTTTTCTCTATTAGCACACAAACACCTCAAGAAGTAATCCACGTCTCTAAGCAACCGAGTGAATCCCTACTCCACGCATACTGCCTCCACCACGAATAGCAAACACGAGTCATTACAAGATTTCCAGTACTCCCATAAAGTATAGTACATCGTGCATCCAACAATTCCATTGCTCAAGTCCTCCTCAATACCAACCTTTTCAAGTCAAAACTGATCCTCAAATATGCCTCAGCCTAAAACAAATATAACACAAAATCATGCAATCTTGTCGTCGATCACAAACTTTCCCACTTGAGTCAAAGCCATAGAACATCATATATGATAACCCACAATACCCTTACTCTATAACTGCCATGATCACATACTGTAATTCAACTGAATCCTTTACCACTCATGTGGCACAAATCTTAAAATACCTCAATTTTTCTGCTAAGTGCATATCCATCCCCGTGACAGTCGTGCGAACTTCTTCAAACATCTTGAACTCAAATTGCGGCATATACACATCCCACTGGTAGAAAGAAAACTCTTCACATAAGCATCATAGGGATCACACAACCCAAGAACATCCCGTAGGAGATAACATACCTACTAGCCTCAAACTGACATCTCACTACGCCCCATCATAGGCACAACCACTATGCAATTACTAAACCTTCCCGAGTCGAAGCTCATCAACAAGACATAAGAATTTACTTCATCCCATAATCAATATGAAAGATCCCTAACACACTCAAAACTTAAGACAATGTAACACGTCAAAACAGAAATCGAGCATCCATAGTTCTTTCACATCCCAATCAAAATTCTTCTCATCACATCCAAACTATCTAATCTCATCACGCAGTCACACAATACCCATCATATAGCTATCCAACCACTCACTGAGCCATCAGTTCCACTCCTAGGGACACTACCGGACATATAAGTCCAAATGCATATACTCACACAACTGAAACCATCGAGCCCAAGTTGCGGTCCAAACTTGACCTCAAGGCCTCTAGACTGGCCTAACACCACAACACATAGACACATCTCGCACCTCATCCATGACACTGCATACCGTACACAATTGATATCAAGTGCTCAACATTGCGTAAAGGAATTCAAAGAGATACGCTTCAAGTTGAATCAAAGTCGCACAATAAGGAAAGAAACATGGAAAATTTTATTTACATGCCTTGTAGCCTCTCGAAGATAGGTATGTATATTATCATACCGATCCACAAGACTTTACTAGACATTTGCTCATGGCTCGTAGAATCTATGAACCTAGAGATCTGATACCAACTTGTCATGACAAAAAAATTATCTAGTCCACCTAACCCAACCCACTAGGTAAGCCAAATGAAAATCAGCACAACTCAACTGAGAATAATAAGAGTCAATGATTTAAATAACTAAACTTCTATACAAAATTCCAAAGATTGGTAGTACAAGTCAGGAGCCACTAAGACTTAGATTTACAAAGCTGATATAAAGGTAAATAAAACATCTGTCTGAAATGTACATAAACAGATTTTAAATCTAAAACTACCAAGGACAAGTGGAAGTTAAATCAGGAAGGCAGGTACAACTTCAATATCAGTTGTCTCCATATACAACAACATCAGCTCCAAGATTTGCACGCAAGGTGCAGAAGTGTAGTATGAGTACAAGTGACCCCATGTACTCAATAAGTATCATAACTAACCTTGGCGAAGTAATAGAAGTAAGAATTATATGATACTCTCTATCACCTGTATAGTTCATAATTCCAAGAAGTACATAATAAAACAAAATATGATAAAATCATGAAAAATCACCTATAAAACCACCTTGGTCTCTCAGTTTCCTCAACGTATTTTGTTTAGTCAAAAATCCAGCATATGAGGAAGATATGGAAATAAGTCAGGTAACAACCAAGGAAATTGCAAGAAAAAAAGAAATGCAATAACCAATATTAATCCATTGCGGCGTGCAACCCGATACAAATAGAATTCACATCACAGTTCTCAGGCCCACATCAGAATCTTAGTAACCAAACCAAACTAATAACCAGCTCTCCTATAGCTCGCATCAACCAGAAACCCATTGGTTTCTCATAATCCATGTGTACACCATCAAGATAGAAATATGAGAGGGTGACTTTAGGGGGATGGATCCATATCCACATACAGCACGGATAACTCACGTGCTGCACGGACAACTCAATATCACAGTATATCCGACATGGTCACAAGCTCAATATCACCATCCGCCCCGCGTGGTCATAAGCTACGAGTCCAAACCGTATTATACAAAAAGCAGATATGCAAGAATACATGTAAATGATCAATGAACATCAAATTTTATACTCCTGGATTTGTATAACTAACGTGTTATGGCTTAGGAGCGTGCAAAGTGTGCTATCATAGCTCAATCTGACACGTACACCACAAAAGTAGAAATTTATCAGGTTGAATTAGGAGATTAACCTCTATATAACCTCAAGCATGGATCAAATAGCTCACAAAAAGGGATACAAAGAGGAGGAACATCACAGCATGAAGCTTAACAATCAACTCAAGGCATATTATAGCCTGAATATTATCTCGAGCATGAAAAATACCCTGGTACACGTATATGTAGGGGTGGGCATATAAAATTCGAAAAAACGAATTCCAAACCGGACCAAATTAATTTAGTATTTCGATTTAGATTTTTTCGGTATTTCGGTCTAATTCGGTATTACATTTTCGGTATTTCGGTACGGTCCTCGGTATTAGGATCTTGAAATTCTGGTATACCGAAATATCGAATTTTTAAAGAGTTTAAGTTGGACCTATAGCTATACTACCTAGTGCCCAGCCCAAGTTGTATATCTAATATAATGCCCACCGCCCCAGCCCAACCCAATAAGTCCCCCTCTCTAGTCTTTCATTCAATTAGGGATTAGGCATTAGGGAATTAGAATTTAGAAAGGAAGGCACAATCTTGGAAACAAGTGACAATGGAGAGGTTCCTAAGGTTGAAGAACAGAGTTCTAAAAGAGGATCTCAAGATAATCCGAAAGAGATTCGAGTGGATAATGAGGCAAAAAGCTCCTTTGCTAAAAAAGCCAAAACCCCTAAACCAAATCTGAAGAATTCAGCTCGAAAGGTGGAATTTTGGCACTTCTCTCACTATTGGTGTGAGAAATTATCTGTCGATTGTTCAAGTTTTCATTTCCTATTATCAATTGTTTGTTGTTCATGTTTAGGTACATCCAACTATAGAGGATAGGATATCAGCTGGAACAAAAAAAAGATTGTATCACCTGAGACAAAATCTTCAAGAATTTCCACTCCAACATCAAATCAAATATCGACAACAAATGTTACTTCTTCATCTCAACAATCAGTGAAGAAGTTAAATGGGGTGTCATATCAACGAAGCAGCAATACTCCTGTGTATAGCAAGTATAGGATTTGCAAATGTGTAATTGCCTCAGATCATAGTGGTTGTTGGTTTGTAAATTATTTCTTGAAAGTACATAGTTCTATCTTTTTGTTGGTAATTCGTTTAGTTTCCCTTCTAAATTGCAGCCTTTTGACCTTTTCTTTATTTACTGAATCAGTGAATTCAAATTGCGAATTGTGAATTCAGTGAATTGTGCACGGAGAGGGCTGCTTACTCTTAGCGTTGTCTAAGAGGGCTTTGGTATTAGCTTATTGCTTAATTGCTTACTGCTGCAACTGTGAATTATTGTTGCTTATTTAGCGATTAATAAACCGAAACCGTACCGAACCAAAATAAAAAATACCGAACCGTACCGAAATAATTTGATACGATATTTGGTATATACAATTGATAAATCGAATACCGAAATATTGAACCGAAATTCTTAAATACCGAACCGAAATACCGAATGCCTACGCCTATGCATATAGGCTCAATACCACAAATATGCGTCACACATAGCATGTAGTTATCACAAATAACTCAGGCAACTAGTGCCTCAACCAAGTTTAGCTAAGAGACTTACCTCAAGCAAGACAAAATAATACTTTAAAAATGCAATTCCGCGCGAATCGACCTCTGAACGGCTCAAAACTATCCAAAAGCAACTCAATAATATCAAATATTGCCAAAAGAATCAAACTGAAACGTTAAAGGTCGAATATTTAATCAAATACTCAAAGTCAACCAAAAGGTTAACTCGAGCCCTCACCATAGAACCCGACAAAATTAAAAAAAATCTTACAACCCATTCAAATACGAGTATAACTATATATGTTTCATCCAAATTCGACCTCAATGTCATGTTCAAAACTCCAAAATTCATTCTCTTAAGTTCAAGTAAAAAACCCTCCAATTTCTTCTCTTCAAATCCCTGATTTAGGTGTAATAGTTCATGTGAAAATAAAATATATAATCAAAATAAAGATAAAATTACTTACCCTCAAAATTTGGGTATTTATCTCCTCCAAAATCGCATTACTTGTGCTCCAAAAACTCAAAAAGTGAAGAAAATAAATTCAAAATCCCGAAATAGGATGTTTTAATGCACTGCCAATCGTCTTTCTTCGTGATAGCGGTCACCAATCTCATGACCACGATTCAAAAAATATCGAGCACAATTTTACCCTTCGCGATCGCGGCCATGAAGCCCCGCGATCGCGATGCATAAACTCCATTAAACCTACAAACTCTTTCTAGATAGCATATAGTGTAATGGCCATAACATTTTGTATATAACTCCAAATGATAAATTGTCTAATTTTCTGAAATCAAGAAATAAAGGGCTACAAATCCATTTTTGGATCATCTCCAAATTTTTGTATAGATTGCAGGAACTAAGCTTCCAAAGTCAGATCTGTGACAACAGAAATTCTTCTACGCGAACGCAAAAAAAGGCTACCTCAATCGCGATTCACAAGGTCCAAACAGCAAATTGCTCTTTGTGAACGCGTCCCAAATGTCCGGGATCGCGATTCACGCCGCTGTAGCCAAAACTAGCAACCTAAAAGGGCTAAAAAATGGTTCGAAACTATCCCGAAAATCACGCAATACTGCCGTGACCCCGTCCGAATATACAACATGTCCCAAAATATAACATGAACCTACTCGAGACCTCTTATCACACATAATAATATCAAAACGGCGAGTCATACCTCAATTCAAGCTTAATGAACAATTTTATTTTTTCAAATTCCAAACTTATGCTGAACACGTCTTAACAACTCGGAATCACATCAAATTTTGCACAAAAGCTTCAAATGAGATAACAAATATATTCCAACTTTCGGAGCAACAATCTGAGCCCGGTATCATCAAAGTCAACTCTTGGTCAAACTTATGAACTTTCCAATCCATTAAATTGTCAACTTTCGCCAAATAGGGTCAAAATCTTCTAGGAACACCTGAATGAAAATCTGAGCATACGTCCAAATCCAAAATTACCATTCGGACCTAACGGAACTTTCACGACCTAAGTTCTCCCTTCGTGAACTGTCGTAACGGTACCTAGTCTCTACGACTAGGTAAGCCTAATAATTTACGGAAAAATTAATTGAAAATACAAAACTAGCCAACTAACAGGTAAGTATGATAAAAGAGTTTAAAATGCTGCTCGGCATATAAAATAATAACACTCTCGACTGAACATAGCACTCCCAAAACCTGAAATCTCATGAATCACAAGCTAAAGAAAATACATAGTGTTTTAACTCCAGAAGTCTAAACAAAGGAAAATACAAGAAGTCTATAACTGAAGAGAGAATAAAGAGGGACTTCTAGGTCTGCGGACGCGGAAGATATACCTCGAAGTCTCTGGATCACCTCGCCTCACGAATAGTATGGCTGAGTAGAAGAACCTGGATCCGCACACGAAAACCATGTGCAGGAAAGGGCATGAGTATACCACAATGGTACCCCGTAAGTGCCAAGCCTAACCTCGGTCGAGTAGTGACGAGATCAGGTCAGGGCCCTACTGGGGATATATATAACAAGGTAAAACAGTAATAAAAGTGACAGCATAATTAAGATACTAACAGTCAATAAAGATGAAATCACAGAAAGAAATAACTCAGTACACAGAGATAGCAACATGGGATCTTCCAGGATAATGTCCCGTAGTCTCAAACGTAAATGTATAGAGGATCTCCCAAGATACTGTCCCGTAGTCCAAATAGTAAATGTGCAGGGGGATCTCTCGAAATACCCTTCCATAGTCCCAAAGTAAATATCCAGTACAGGGGGTCTCTTAGGATAACGTCCCGTAGTCCCAAATATAAATGTGCAGGGGGATCTCCCGAAATACCGTTCCGTAGTCCCAAAGTAAATACACAAACAAATCCATATACACAACAGTCTCAAGAAGGAAATTTACAGTTCTATTCAAGTTTGTATCAAATAAACAGGTAATTTATACCTTAAACATGCTACAGAAAGTTCAAGTAAGCAATTAAAGCAGGTAAGACAGTTAAGTCATGTAAGCATGCTTTCCTAAGCTAAACAGGAGGCTTCATACACTAGTATTTGCTCAATTTAAAGGAAAACATAGATATTTACATAACGAAAAATGGGGATTTTCAACAATTAGAACATGTACGCACTCGTCACCTCACGTACACAACATTCATATAACAACAGTACCAAAATCCTAAGGGGAGTTCCCCCATATAAGGTTAGGCAAGCTACCTCGAACCAAGCTCAAATTAATCTGATATCACACTTTTTCCACGAGTATCCAACTCCGAATGGCCCAAATCTAATCAAATCAATTACATAACATAAATAAAACTACAAATAACTAGTTTAGCTAATGAATTTAAAGATAAGACGATAAAATAGTAAACTACCCAAAAATCCTCCCCGGGCCCATATCTCGGAATCGGGTAAAAGTTACCAATTTAGAACACTCATTCACTCACGAGATCACTATTGGTACCCAATTTTTCCCTGTATATTTTTCACATGAAAAATACCTTTCAAATAGCATATGTATGCATATATAAGTATGCCCAAGAGTTTTCTTATTTTTCATTAATTTTTTAAATCAATTTATTGCGCTATTTTATCAAGAAAACACCAATAATTATTCCCAAAATTATCATTTTGGCAATTAACTTATTATATTCTTATATTTATACTAAAATATATCTACCATAATTTTTGCATATTTTTACAAATTTATTTAGTATTTTTAAGCTAAATTGCATATAATTGCAATATTAGCCTATTTTAAGATTTAATTGTGTTTATAAATATAAAATTGACTCCAGTATTTTTATTTTCATAATTATATATTATTAATCATTTTAGTACCTTTAATTTTCTTCCAGAAATTATTTTACTATTTTTTATAAATTAAACAAGGGAAAAAGTGGCTATTTAAATGTTAGCCCATTTCATTTTTTAATTCTGGTCGGATTTGGCACCCCAATTAAACCCAATTTCAAATCTCATTACCCGACCTAATTTCTAAAATTACCAGACCCACGACCCTTTAAAATAACCCACCCGGCCCCCTTTTAATCCCAGCCGTTGATCTAACAGATCAACGGCTCACACTCTTCTTTTCCTTTTTAATTTTCCAATACCCCTCAAACCCTATCCATTTCTCACCATTTGCCGCCCCTGGATTCTCCCTCTCCCAAATTATCTCTCAAAATCCCTAGCCGCCTCCCTCTATTTCCACCCTAAAACCACCGGAATCTATGGCTTCCAAGGCAACTGAAGTCTTATACCGACCTCCTATAACTCCTACACGACGGGTTATTGAAGATTCAAGCAAGTCATGGCTGTTCGAACCTAATCTCGACTTCTCCTGCTCAGATCAACAACTTTCCAAGCCTTTCTCACCACTTGGGTTCCTCTAAACCCCTAGCTTTTGAGGTTCTTCTGATTTCTTTAGATCCGTTCTAGATCCATGTTTTCCCTGAGCCTTTAAATGGTTTCTCGAGATTTCTTTCAAAAACTATGCTTTCAAACCTTTATCTTTCCGATTTAGGGTTTTGTCGAGATGCTTCTCTGACTTTCGTTAAGTTTATTGTGTATTTCTTCTACTATTAGTTTCTTCTACTGTGTTTCTCTCCTATTGTGCTCTTACGAGTTCATCTATTATGTTTCCTATGTGTTTTTTCTACTATGTTCTTATGAGTTTTTCTATTGTGTTTCGCATGTTGTTCTTTTACTATGTTTCTCATGAGTTTCTTTTACTGGAAGATGCATGTTAAAGGTCTTAGTTCCTTTTTGAGATTTCTGAACTTATTTCATTAGTATTTCTGCCCGATTTACTTGTTTTCGTCTCTACACTCGATTAAGGGTAAAACCCCTAGAATTTGGGAGTTCATCCGAGTTTTGAGACCATTAGCTATGTGATTTGCTTGTTCTTCATCTCTGAACTTGTTTGATTTCAAAAACCCTAACTTTCTTTGGACTTATTTTGAGTTTCTGAAGACTGTTTCATCTGCTGCTCAATTGAGTCTTGAAATCTTTGTTTAAACCTTGGTTTCTTTATATGATTCTGATTCCCAGCTAAACTTTTCCAAGGTCCTTCTACTGAACCCTTTGTATGCTATTTGATACTCTCTCTTCTCCATTGCTGAGTTACTCTGTGATTACCATGTTCCTATAATCTACTACTTACT